CTCCCACGTGTGAAAAGAAGCTTCTGAGTGGTATGGGTGCGAGGGCGGCGTCGCACATCGGCGACCAAAACAAATGAAGGAATCCTCAAAGAAGTTTCAATCTCGCTGAGCCGGAGATCCTCCCACATATGTCTCAGTGACGGCTTTCACCCAGAATGAATACAACGCGGAAACCACTATGGAGCCATGCAGGGTGAATCTCCGGGTTCTAGGGAAAAGTATAGCGTGATAGACTGGCACTGACCAATTCCTGGAGAAATAGACCTGCAAGGTATAGAGACCTGCAAACTTCGAGAGCAAGTGTTAGTCGAGAGAAGGCCTAGAAGAAGTCGAGAAGTCGAGAGAAAAGGTAGGAGTGCTTGTGGAGAGCATGCGAGGTGCAGCACATGTGGCTACACAAATTGACAAACGTCGCCGAATCAGGCACGCGGCGTGCCAAGAGCTGTACCGGAGGACGCAGCACGTGAGGAGTTTGTTGATATTGGTGGCCCATGAAGGGCAAGGCGGCCCAAACTGAACTCCGGCATATCGATGCCTATGCAGCAGCGCCTTAGTTTGTACTGTAAATGGAGGCGTTCTAGCGATGTGTCTTCTTTTATGTTCCCCTCTCTCTCTCTCTCACTCTGCCTCTCTGTCTCTCTGTCCATGAGGTAGCTGATGGTAGTGCGATTGTACTTGTTTGTCTTTCTGAGTGTTGCTTCTTCATTTGGTGTTGCCAACATCATGCATTTGGTGTTGTGTTTGTTTCACCATCTTCCCTCTATATACATGATCAAAGATCCTTGCAAGGATTAAAGGCTCACTAGACGCATGGTGTGAATGGCCCAAATGCACCTTTGCTTGAGGCTACGATGTGGACGAAGAAACGTGGAGTGGAGGCGCAACCTGGGAGGCCCTCCAAAGCTGCCCAAAGAACTGGGCAGAACCAGTTGTTCTCAAGGTGACCTTGAAAACCCTCAAATGTATCGATTGGGATGGTCTTGAATCGTTCTCAGTACCTTACCAGCTGCAACCAGCTGCAACCTCACCAAGGTGTTTGGCAGACATTGATCGGATGTCCAAAAGCGAGCCCACAAGATCCAGCTTGCGTAGATCGAATCCAAAGTGGGCAGGGAACATTATGAGACACTATAGCTTTTGCTCAGGAGGGAGCTATAAGGAGCAAGGGTATATCCCCCACTAAGCACTGAGCCAAGCAGCTACAGGGAGTTCCTCAATCCCTTCCTAGAACAGTCTATTGAGCGATTGTCCGTCAGAAATACGTAGTATTTCTAGAGCTGCCCAGCTGGTCTTCTCTCGATTGGCGCCGCGAAATCCTTGAATGCAAGTGCCGGTTGAACACGGTCCGATGTGTACTTGGAGATGAGTGCACCAAAAAACGATTTTTGTCCCTCCTGCTCTGAAGCTTCACGAAGTCGAAGTGGACTTGTGGGTGCGGAGGCCCCCATCTTACATTTTCTAGGGATCCACATACCTTCTGAGAAGGTGATTGGAGACTATTTATGTAGGCGCCAGAGGGCCCAAGTACCTTCTGAGAAGGTGGCAGTGGATCCCTATTATGGGAAACCACCCTCGTGATTCGGCCATTGGAAACCTACGGCTTCAGGTTCGCGGCTCCGCCGGACCTTGGCGCGTGGCCTCGCCGTGCTGTCGGCGGTGCCCAGTGGGTGGTGTTCCAATGGCGTTGGTGAAGCGTCAGCCTGTACGTACCAGCGGATGTGGTGCCGGCAAGCCTAGCTACTAGTAGCAAAGGGCATCGCTTACTAGGAGCAAGAAGCTACTAGAAACAAAGGGCCTGGGGACTAGTAACTAAGAAGACCTGTAATGCCTTTCTTCCTCAGCTACTTGCAGGGCTCAAGCTGCAAGCTTCTTTCAATGTCAATCCTGCTGCAGAACGGATGTCGTAGCCTCCACGTCGAAACAGCGGTTCGGTTTCAGTTTATTGCCACACTCCGCAAGTTTGGTGCAACCTGCCCATCAACAATCTGCGCAATGATGCGTGCCCTCTTTGATTTTTTTTGCCAGCAAAGCGCAGGCGAACAATAATCCTCCATGAACCTATCAATGGGAAGTGCCAGGTTCACTGTCGCAATATAGATCTACATGATCTACAGCGGGAATAGCCTGCGAAACAAGTTCCCATTCGGTTTCCGAGAATAGTCATGGATATTCATGGATCATTGGCTACTAGGTTGGAGGCCATCGCTCTTAGGTTGGAGGCCATCGCTAGTAGGTTGGAGGCCGTTCCTATTAGGGGACATTCATGGATTATTAGCTTACGATATGACCCTCATGGTAACAGGCTCCCAGAACAGTTTCTTTAGCTTCTGGTGAGCGGACTCAACTGGTCAAATTTTGACACGCAACAAACACACCTACACGCATTTTAAGATTCATGATTGCAATATATTGCAATAGCACTTCAATAGCCTATCATGAGTATTCTGTGTGCTGACAAGTCATAAGCGTTTGATGATTGGCACTCAAAGCTCCCCCTCGTCTGCTACTCGTCCACGGTCCGTGGGACGTGGTGCGCGTTTCGCCCGCGGTCCAACCCGCGGTCCATGGCGCGATGCTCGCGGAGAGGACCACGGAGGGCTTCTTGGCTGCCGATGTAGACATGCCAAGCACCATCATTTCTGCCATCACTGCCACATACTGCCTATAATTACATGCCTATAAACTATACTGCCTATTAAGTATATACGTTATGTTATGTCATTTGTTGGGATCCTCCCTTCCCGGAGCCTCACTTGTACTGCCTTCCTTGGTTCTCTGGAGCTAGCAAGCCCATGGTCTATGACGCAAAACCCCCCTTGGGGAGAGCCAGGTCCATGGCCCTCTAGAGGTGACTCCCTTCAGCTTTGGCCTCAGGTTTGCACCCGATGTTTTCATCAAACGGCCGGGCCAAGCAAATAACATTATATAAATATAGTTAATACTGAACTTCACAAATTCTTCACAACCATTTTAGTGGCTATGAATTTAGACACCCCTTCGAAGCCAGAGGGTTTTTTTGTTTTGCTTCAAGGACGGCGCCTAGGGCAAGGCTTATGGCAAGGACCTTTGCAGGCACCGGCCGTGGGCGTCTCGTCATTTTCTTGTCAATCACCAGTGAGCGCTGGCATCCCAAGGTCATCAATGAAAGATTGGACTTGTGGGCACTCTAGCAGACAAGTGAATGGAACATACTAGGAACACGAAGCTACTAGGGGCTCCTGGCCTTACTACTAGGAGCAAGGACGCTACTAGGGGCTTTTGGCATCGCTACTAGCAACAAGAAGCTACTAGGAGCAAAGGCGGTGGATCTTTTGGAACAGGTTAGACAGCAAAGTCAGCACACTTGATCCCAGTTTGAACCAGCATGTGTTGCAGACTCTTAGATTTCCAGCTGGGGTGGTTACTTTAAAATAACGTCACGGCCATGCTCAATCGGTGAAATCATGTGAAATCTATCTTCTCAAGACCTTTTGCCAAACTTCCAAGCGGTGACATCCAGTCACCATTGAAAAGCTGCACCATTTGATGGACTTGCTCAAGGCTTCTGGAATTCCTTCGAGCGACAAAATCAGCATGCAAAGCTGCCACTGATCCGGGCTGTTTGGAATTTCAGAGGTGTTCACACATGCGGGGGAATTGGCCTGCAGAAAGTGAACGTGTGTTTCTAAGGGATGTCATAGGAGGATAGGTGGAAATGGGGGGGACAAGCGGGCCCCCTCGGCGCAAGGAGCTTCCCAGCTGCGACTTCTTCCCGCGGCGGGACTATGCGGTGGCATCCTTCTCCTCCGGCGACGGCTTCGTCGTCCTGGGCGGCAGCCGCTTGATTCGAAGGGATCAGAGTGAAACCTGCAATCGAGTTGAAGGTCAAAACATCTTGCCTATTTATGTAAAAGAAGCTACTCCACTTTGACATGACATGTACAGAACATCGCACTTGAGGCCTTCGTGGTTCAAAACAGCTCGCATGGTAGCGGAGCTGAGAAGGCTGACGCTCGTCAGCTGGAGCTCCGGGGAAGTTTTAACCCAGATGTGAGGTCGCCCGCGCCGAGCCACCCATCCAACTAGTGTTGCACTCTCGCTCGCAATCATAGCCTGTGATTACCTGAAGGGGATCTTCGAGCGAGTGTCCTTTGGAGGTGGATAGAGGGGGCGAAGGACCTGGGCAGAAGGAAGAGCTTGGCACTACAAGGAAGAGAAGATGGACCAGACCGACATGCCCGTGCTAGCTCAAGCTGTCATAGCGGCTGCTAATGCAGCAGCCCAGGCGGCTCAGGCAGCGGCTTCAAGTGGAGGAACAGTTGGTCAGGGTGCAGAAGGAGCAGGGGGGAAGCCAAGGAGTGTTGAAGCGTGATCTAGCAAAGTTGATCCCACGACCTGGTGCCTTTAATCCCACAGACAGAGAGCAAGAGGTTTTGCAGTGGCGAGATTGGTACTGGACAGTCAAACAATATTTGGTTGTGGTTGATGCAGCATTTCAAGATGAGTTGGAGAAGCTAGAGACCAACCTGACAACCGAGATAGACTGGGAGTTGCTAGATGAGGAGGAACAGCAGAGAAGTCGATTTCTGTACAGCTTGTTGGGGAGCTTGGTACAAGGACGACTGACAGGTGTCATCAAGAATGTCGAGAAGTTCAATGGAATGGAAGCACTTCGACAACTGTTGATGAACTGTCAACCCCAGGCGAGAAACAGGACGATGAACCTCCTGCAAGGGATAATGTCCTACCCGAGCTTCAACATGAAGAGCTCCTTGTTGCCTCAAATCCTCAAGTTAGAGGAACACTATGTCCAGTATGAGCGCCTTGGAGGAAAGCTATCACCTGACATGAAGTCAGCGGTGTTGCTCAGAGCGGTGTCGGGTCAGATGAAGACTCATTTGAATCTGACTTTGAATGAGGGCAGCTCATATGGCAAAATCAGGGAAGCAATCATTGCCTTTGACACGGCCACCACCAAGTGGAATGAGTCGGGAGCCCTTACGTTTTCAGGAATGAGCCCAATGACGAATACAACAGATCCCAATGGTCCAATGCCCATGGAGATTGACCGCATCAAGGGTGACGGCAAGAAAGGAAAGGGAAAGACCAAAGATGGTAAAGGCAAATCGAAGGGCAAAGAAGACCGACAGAAGGGAAAAGGCAAAGGTGGCAAGCCTGGTGGAAAAGAAGGCAAGGGTAAAGGAGGTGGCAAGGAGAACAAAGGTGGCAAAGGCAAAGCTACCAATGAAGTGTGTTGGACTTGCGGCAAACCCGGACACATGTCACGTGACTGTTGGAGGATCAGACAAGTTGAAGCACCAGCAGTCCAGAGCATCGCAGGTTCTCACACTACTTCGCCCTCTACGACATTGACATCGAGCACCTCGAGTGGAGGAGGCGGAGACGCCAATGTGGGTGCCAAGAGTATCAGACGTGTTTCACAGCCAGTGATCTTCGACTTGAGAGAAGGGAGTGAAGCTGGTTCAATTCGAGTTGTGAGCCAAGTTGAATTTTTCAACATTGCCTCAGAGGATGAAGAGGAGGATGGATGCTACCAAGTCAATACCATTGCTGAGACCGAGCATGAGGAGGAGGCCGAGGAGGCCTATGTGGCAGAAGAGGAGCAACAGACCTTGAAGGTGATTGTTGACTCGGGGGGCGGATGCCTCGATCTTCCCAGGAAGACTCATGGGAATGACAAGGAGTGATCAGGTGTTGGGACAAGCCCTTCATCTGCAAGACGCCCAAGGGAAGAAGATCCAGAGTTATGGCAACAAAGATGTGGATATCTTGATGATGACATCTGAGGGCCAATCTGTGGTCTTGAAGGAGAGAGTGACCTTCAGCGACATGGTGAGCCAGCCCATCTTGTCTTTTGGACGCTTGATGAGAAGCGGGTGGTCCATCGATGGCCAAAGGCAGTGTTTGAGGAATGGAAGCCTGGAGGTGCCTTTAGCGTTTCAGAATCAAAGCCTAGTGGTGGATGCTGCCATCAGGGTGATCACAGAACCCCTGGTGATTCGAACGCTGGCAGTCAGGCTGAATGAGGAGTTGACCAACATGGCTGGAAGCGGCTATGGCTGGAAGAAGAAAGATGAGTTTTGGGTTGGACTTCACTTGAGCACAAGGTTTCAAAGCCCACAGTTCGATGTGTCGAACTACCCTGGTGGAGAAGCAGGGCAGTTGGGAGTTGGTAGAAATGGCCGAACCATTAGACGGCCTAGAGGAGCAAGAAGAGGAAGTAGAAGAACTTCGAGATGTGGGTCTTAGCAAGGTGATGACCTTTGTGGCTCAGGAAGGAACAGTTCCAGAGATGTTCGGTTTTGAGATTGACAATGCAGTCCAATTGGGTCCTAGACCAGCAGTTGAAGAGCTCGCAATTCCACAAGCTCAAGATGAGGAGATGGAAGAATTCGATGGTGCAGACATTCCAGGTGGAGATGACGAGCCCAACCCTGGTCGTGACCTACAAGAACAGATGGTGCACTATGAGATCGGTGTTGCACTTCCAGAGGAGATTCGAGTGAACGAGGTCCCACTGACAGTCGACAGCCCCCTGAGGAACCTGAGAGCTGCTTGTGCTTTCTACAGGATCGGACAGAGTGGAGGCAAGAGAAAATGCTTCAGTCGGCTAGTGGCTCATCAAGGTGCACTCGAGTTGATGATGGCCAAGGACTTAGCTGCGCGAGGACAGGCAATGGGGCAGAGGATTCCAGTGGAGCAGGTGACAGCAAAAGTCCCAACAGAAGCAGAGAGGAAAGCCCATGAGCTTACTCATGTCCCTTACGCTCCATGGTGTCCTGCCTGTATCAGGCATCGAGCTCGTCCGGATCAACACAGGAGGACGGGGAAGTCTCATGACCAAGGAGTTCCAACAATCTCCTTCGACTTTTGCAAGGTGAAAGCCAAGGGTTCAGGAGCGATTGGAGCGGAAGAAGAGGATGCTGCTCAGGAAGGTGTGCAAGATGATGAGAGTGGAGCGCTGCTGATGGTTGCGGTATGCTCAGAAACAGGCTCACTATTGGGTTTGCCTTTGAAGACAAAGAACCAGATGAACCTCATCACCCACGAGCTGCTGGCATTCACTCAGATTCTCGGCCATGAGGCTGTGCAGTACTACTGCGACAATGAACCTACTGCGAGGCAGATTGTTCGACTCTTGGTGGCTTCGAGAACAGCCATGGGTTTGAAAACTACAATGAGAACAACAAAGCTTTATGACTCAGCAGGCAATTCTTTGGCTGAGAATGCAGTTCAGCGAGTACGAGGTCTTGCAGCTTCGATGATGGAGAGTCTGGCGGAGAAGATCGGCTTGAGATTTCAGCACCAACATCCACTGTGGTCTTGGGCGTGCCGCCATGCTGCTTGGACCCTGAATCGATATCAGGTGCTGAGAGGGACAACGAGCTTTGAGTTGACTCATGGAAAAGCCTATGATGGCAAGATGTGTCCTTTCGGAGAAGTGGTGTTCGCCTACACGAAACAAAAGCAGGGCTTCAAAGCGGACCCAAAGTGGAAGGTAGGCATTTGCTTGGGAAAGACAGAGGTCCAGGATGCATGGGTCATCGGAGATGGAAACAGAGTTTTCCTCAGCAAGTCCATTCGCAGAGTTGCAGACGCCAGTACCAGGTACATAGCTTGCTACCAGGGCTTCACGGCATACTCATGGGAGTACCAGCAGAATTTTGGTGGAAGAATCGTCCCATCAAAGAGAGTTGCAACGATGGTTGGAGGACCACTGCTGGGATTGCCGACACCTGGAGCAGGAAGAGAAGCTCTGCAGGATGAGGATGCTAAAGAGGTAATAGCCTTCTCGAAGTCCTATGCGGGAAAGTTGGAGGAGGCAAAGGACTTGGTCGAGGTGGTTGAGAAAGAGAAGGTTCAGGTCCAGGAGATGAGTGAGGAGCAGAAGATTGTGGAGAACAAGAAGCTGGACTACGTGGAAGAGAGTGTAAGTCTGCCACCAATCAGATCGAAGGATCCGAATATGGTTGATGACATGAACAACCAAGCTGGACCTTCAATGCCGGGCATTACACCAAGAAGCCCCGCGCAAAAGAGTAGCCTCGGCACAACGGGTGATGAAGGAGATGCGAAGAGGTTAAAGTTCACTACCTTCAAGCTTGTGCACGAGAGTGGAGGAGAGAACTCAGAGACAAAGAGGCAGAAAGTTGGAGAGGAGAAGCCGCAGATTGAGAGAAGGGTGCAAGCGACGGAAGTAGGAGCTGATGTGTACTACCACATGGACCAGTTCTTTGGGGAGGAGGAGTTTTTGTCTTGGGATGGAGAAGAGGAGGAGACTCCATTGACGATGATTCCCAAAGAATTGTGGTCAGAGGCGCCCTTGGACAGAATTCCAGCAGATCCGCCAGCTTGGATCGATGATCTGGCAGATGAGGTGGAAGAGCAGAGACTCTTGAGGATGGGAGTCTTGGAAGCTATGAAGGAGGAAAAGGCAGGTTTCAAGAAGCTGACAACAAGGTTTGTCAGGGACTGGCGAGTGAAGCCTCGTCAAGACTTGCCCGATGCTCCCAAGCAGTTCCTTAGAAGATCCAGACTGGTTGCTAGGGAATATGCAGTGGACAGGCGAGATGATGTGCACAGCCCGGCAACCGGAGGACAGACATTGCGTTTGTTGCCCATCATCTACCTCATGAAGAAGCTGGAAGAGAGAGATGGCGGTGAGGAGTTCTGGTTGGGTTCAATGGATGTGAAAGACGCCTTCCTCCAAGTGCCCCAGGAGGAGCCAACACAAGTAAGAACCGCCAGAGGTCACTATGAGGTGAAGCGCAACCTACCCGGCCAGAGGTTAGGAGCCAAAGCATGGTTTGACTATTTCACAGACTGGTTGAGGAAGAAGGGATTCCAGTTCTCGGACATCAATCCATGCCTTGGGAGAAAGGAAGACCGTATGATGGTGTTGATCCATGTAGATGATGTCCTCTACCTGGGCAGTCGAAAATATGTGGAGGAGATTTTCCTGCCTGACATCAAGAAGAGCTTTGACATTTCGGAGCAACACTTGTCAGGAGATGGCACAACCTTTTCTTTCCTGAGGAGAACCTATGAGCAAACACCAGAAGGGTTGAAGATCCTGCCGGGGAAATATGCCGAGAGCATGATTGAGCAGTATGAGTCCCAACTGGGCCGAGCCAAGATCCAGAAGTTGCCATGTGGGCCGGAGATGCTGGAGCAGGATGGAACGTCCATGGTGAGTGGAGAGTTGGCCAGTCTCTTCAGATCCCTGGTTGGCTGTGGCATTTACTTGTCTCAAGAGAGGATGGATGTGTCCTTTGCAATCAAGGAGCTGGCATCCTCAATGGCCTGTCCAACAACAGGGAGTTTGAGAAAGCTTGGAAAGCTGGTGGGTTATTTGAAAGCAACGATTGGACAATACAGTCTTCTTCCGTATCCAGACCCAGGACACGGACATGCCACCAGAACAGCTACGTCAAGATGGCTGCTTGAAACCTTCACAGACAGTGATTGGTCAGGAGCAAAGGGACATAGAAGGTCAACATCAGCAGCGGTGCACATGGTGAATGGGAACGTTGTCTTGGCAAGTTCTAGAGGCCAAAAGTCAGTTTCCCTGAGTTCTGCGGAAGCAGAGCTAAATGCTCTTGTGAGTGGAGCAGCAGACGGGATCTACCTGAGAAGGTGCTTGGAGTTTCTCGTGGAGGAGAAGGTGGTACACCATTGCCTGGTAGACAACTCCGCAGCACTACACCTATGCCATAGGAAGGGCCCAGGCAAACTTCGGCACATTGCTGGCAAGTTGTTATGGATTCAGGACATGGTTGCACAGGGAGATCTTGAGGTCAAGGCCGTAGGGACAGTTGCCAATGTCGCTGACCTAGGCACCAAACCGCTAGCCAAAGCCAGGGTGAATCTCATCCTGCATTGGTGCCAGATCTACAATGGTGAAGGAGAGAGGATTGGACAAGAAGAGCAACAACGACTTGAAGAGAGCAGTGTGAGCCGCAGCAAGATCCAGAGGCTTGCAAAACTGCTCAACAGAATCTTGCTGTTGGAAGGCCTTGAGCATGTGGCTGGTGAGCGAGTGGGCATGGAGGAGAATGTCACCGTGACCAACCACAGTCAGTGGCTATGGGCATTCATTGTGATCCTGATGGTGGTGATTGCCGTACTGATCTTCGGCATTTACCAGCTCTGGAAGAAGCTTGAGAGAATGGAGACAAGGCTTCAACAAGTGGTTGATGATGTGAAGGTTGACGGCATGATGGTGGGAGCCTATGGCCATGAGACGAAGGAAGCAATAGCGCAAGTGAAGAAATATGTGGAGAAGGTGCATCGAGGCTTGATCAAAGCTTCAGGTTATGTTGATGATGATGAAGTCTTGATGGAAGACTGGAGGCATTGGGACTACCTCCAGGACACCAACAAGGAGTTCGACATGAGAAGGCTTGACAAGCAGATCAAGGATTACCTTCAGAGAAATGTTGAACAGACACGTCGACGCCTGAACATTAGAGACAATACTTTGAGAGACAACACCGGTGGAAGTGAGGAGAGCGAAGAAGGAGAACATGATCCAGATGATATGGTGCAAGTCAGATTAGAATCTGGACAAGTGGTGACAGTGAGAGCAGGTGACCTTGAACCTCGCGAACCAGAAAGTGAGAATGAGGAAACGGTGCCTATGGAGACAGAGCCAGAAAGGGTACCAGATCGAACAGGGGAAGCGCGTGGCAGCAGAGACCTGGAGTTTGAGGATTTGACTATGTCAACACCAACAACAAGGTGGCTCACAGATGCAGAACTGCATGAAGTGAGTGAGTATGACAAGCCAGCCTTCAGGTCTTGCCTGAGAGCCAAGCAGTATTCCCTACAGTTCGAGAAGCGATGGTTCGAGCTCAACCAAAGGAACGAACATGAATCCAAAATGGAAATGTACTCACGAATGGGAAGGCATATGGAGTTCATGGACAGCGAGGCAGTTCCCTTTTAAGATGTGAGTGGCGCAGCAAGCACGAAAAAGGCTTAGCTCGCGGCGCCAAGGAGGAGTATGTAAAAGAAGCTACTCCACTTTGACATGACATGTACAGAACATCGCACTTGAGGCCTTCGTGGTTCAAAACAGCTCGCACTATTACATGTTTCCAACCTACCAGGCCTGCAGGGCTTAAGAGATGTTGGTCCTGATCTTTCATCTGGGTCTTACAGCAAGTAATTTCACCCAGACCACCTGTCAACATGATCTTCGGCGTCTTGTGTACCGACCATGAATCTGTTATTACCAGTGTAAGGAAGAGTTGGAATTACTCTGTGCTGGTGAGAGTTTGAGGATGTCAGGAAGATCCTGACTCTTCAACCTATATGTACATCTTCAGAACGCACACGAATCACAAAAGAGCTTGAGCAATATTGAGCACTTATGTTTTTTAAACACGACGATATACTGCCAAAGGGAGATTAAAGGGTGCTTGGGGTCAGACAAAGATCCACAACCTTTCGGCCGACCGGGCCGACCGACCCAACCGACCGAGCACCGCCCCAAACGACGAGGCCGACCGCACCACCGAGGCGCTGGACATGTGCAGCTGAACGACCTTTGGAGCGCCAAATTGCTGGGCCGAGGCCGTGCGGTTGCTGGATGGGAATGGTATGACCGGTATGACACAGTTTTGTTTGACTGTTTGATGTGTGTTTTTTCTAAACATATTGACATGACCCGCAGGCAACATGAGTTTGACATGGCAAGGCAGGGATTGACATTTTGGTTGTGAAGTCCTTGGGGTGGTCTACACTGTGACCTAGTCTCGGCAAATACGATCCATCCTTGTGGTGGATGGAAGAATGATGAAGAACGGCTGCATTGAAAACTCAGATTTCATAGGACATGATTGAATCACCTGATGCAGAATTTCTTCAACTGTAATGTCCTTTTGTTTGTGTGTGTGTCCATGTTTTTGTTTGTGCTGTTTTGTGCTGTTTTGTTTGTTTGTTTGAACAACATACCTGGGTCCCATCTCATCAGCGCCTTCCAAAAGTGCCATCTCATCCAGTCCCACAAACTGGTGACCAACTCGGACCGTCACGAAAGCTGTCCGGCAGAGGATGAGTCCCTGAGCGACTGGGGGTTAAGGGGTGTCACCCCTTGGACGGTGGGGTCCTGCTATGAATTCATCGCAAATACACTCGTAGATGATGAGAAATCATGTACCTATATAGATCAACCAGAATCTACGAATTGGCAGATCCTACATGGAGACATCCTGTTTAGTATATACTACATGCCCATCGCCCGTGCAATGCTTGCTTGATGCCGAACAACGAATCCAGGCGCTGCTGCCACCTGGCATTGGACAGAAGTGTCTCCGCATCTGGATGGCCGGCGTGATCCGATGGCACCTAGATTTCAACAGATTTTTGAGGTCTGGCTGCAAAGAACACGTCCTTTGGAAGTGGTAAGCCTTTCCAGGGGTGGGCAATCCTCTTTTTTCTGATGGTGGGTTGTCGGGGTTGTAACGATTGAAAACCCATCCTCAGAAGGATTTTGCACACGACCCATGCTTGTGTGTTTCGCTTCTTTGATGCCACAGACATGTGGTCAAGCCACAGAAGGGGCGACGCTCGCACCAAGGATGGTCAACTCTTGCTCTCCAAGTGGCCAGGACGCTCGCGCTTGGCCACTGCTGTGGCCTTAGCACCCAAAAGTAGCAATGCACGTGCCATCTACGCAGCTTGGCAGACGAGGGCCGGCGGACGAGGGCCGGCAATGGCCGGCAACGGGGGGTTGTGTGAAGCTTTCAGTAAAAGTGTTGTAAGCGATGAAAGTGGACCACAGGACTACTGTGAAGTAAAACCAACGGAGGCTTCAGCCATCAGCTGATCCATGGCCGTGGTGGGCTGAAAAGCACGAGTTTCGCGATAAGTCGTTGGAATCCCGTATGGAGATCCTGTAGATCTTCGGGGCGCGGCCTCGGTCCAGTCGAGATCTCCTTCCAACACTCCCGACGGGCCCGCAACGTTTCGAGGAAATGGATAGCCAATGTGTTGGGCCACTGTTCGTTTTGCTTTCTTGACATGTTGAATCCACATCCACTCCAATCTTGATCGATTGATCTCCACTTTTGAGTTTGATCCTCTCAGATTCGATCCAGGGGGCCACCGGCCCGGCCGTTTCTCTCCGCTCCAACCGCTTTCCGTCCGACCTCCTGAGCGCCTATATAGAGCGCCGAGCTCCGCTACAGGTCACAGGCGGCCAGGGTGCCTATTGCTTTGAAGACTTTTGGGCTTCAGAAGACGGTGGACAGACTTGGCCCATCGGCACAGACTTGGAGGAGTTGAGAAAGAAGATCTGGTAGAAGTGGTGGGCACAAAACAGGACAGTGAGTTCAATGTATAGCACATTGGTATACATTGGTCAGGTCTTTGGCTGGATGGTTTGGGTCTTTGGCTGGATGACTTGGAGTATTGGATATACAGTGGTCACATTGTGGGACGTTGTGCGGACGTGAACGGACGCAAGATATCAAGACAAATCAAGACACTAGAAGCTACCCATGACCTTACCTTTCAGACGGGGATTCATGAATGCCTGCGTTAAGCCCTCAGCATTCCATTGACTTCAGCATGGCCTAGCGGCCTAGCATGGCGGAGAGCTGTGAGAGCTGTGTTGCGTGAGCACTGGGCACTGCGAAAGGATTTTTTGCGCTATAGACCAAACAACTCCAAGGCCAAGTAAGAAGGGTTTTTTGCAGACATCTCCCCATCTCGGGTGGATATATAGTACAAGTACAAGTCAGGAGGAAAGCAGCGATTCCAAGCTGCTGCGGCTAAGAGACCACAGCCGCATTGTGTGGTTGCAGCGATCCAACGAGACACGGTGAGACCATGTGACGACCTGGGTTCCAGAGGTCGCTTTGGAGTATCTCTTTGTGTGTTGGTGGTGTTGGTAGCATCTCTATAGGTTTATCTTAAAACAGGATGGCCAATGAAAATTCTTTGAAGAAAGAGTATAGACTATATCAAGTTATCAAAAAAACACGTCCAATCACCTATAAGTGTTTCCCGGTGACACTTCACAGACCCCTTTCTTTCGTTTGGTAGATTCTGGTAGACACTTTCCAACATAAAAATAGATGGAACAGCACTAAGACCCGAGCGAGTCGGCGAGTGTGCGAATGGCACAGAGAAGTCATGGCACTTGCGCCTCAGGTATTGCATGTGCCGCAAGGTTCCTTGGGGCGGACGACTGGACCCAGGCCCTTGGCCTCGGTGGATGGAACGAAACGAACCCGTGCATGGTGTGGGTGGTGGAGCCGTGTGAGATGCGGTCTTTCATACCATGAAAAGCCGAATTGACCCCCAACTGAGACCATTTCTAAGTGCCCCACAGCTGTATACTGTATACAGCTGTTCGTGGAGGGCAGATGGGATTTTCAGGAGTGGTGAATCAGGGTTTCTGGGCTCGGTTTCAAGCCAGGAGGGTCTTTGATCCAATAATTCTTCTTGCTGGGGGTTCCGAAGGCATGGCATGGTCTTATATAAGACAGTCTCGTCATCGGCAAAAGGTAGTTGACGAAGAAACCCCATCCCTTGGACTTCATCTTGACCACTTGCAGTGGTTTCATAGTAGAAGGCACAAACCCAAGTTGTTGTCTTGTAGTTGGTCTTCCATCTAAACCACCGACATTGGGGTAATTTGCCATCGATCATCTACTTGCATCTACTCTCAATCCACTATACCTGTCCAATCAATGTGGAGTCCCAAGTTGCTCATGACTCGGTGTGTTCCGCTCTGTTGGTCATGTCCTCAAAATCATGTCGTGTCTTCTTTGTTTTCGAGCCAACGCACCTCTGGCAGGCTTGTGCGTGGTTCCCACCAAATATGAGCAGCTGGTGCTGCTTGGAGGCCATGGATGGCCATGGTATGTGCTGCGATGTCCGTCTCCAAGCGTCTCAAACCCGCATCCGTATCGTAGACGGGGACATCCAAATCGGCGAGTCTTTGAACACTGGAGACTGGTGAGACAATTCGCATAGAAACTGCTGTTTCCACTGTACAAGCAAGCGCTTCATCCATGGATGCACCCCCCCGTATTGCATCCATTTATACTTTTGGAGAAGGGATCGGTTTGTGACGTCGCCGCGGAGTGCGCGAGCTCCTCTCGCGCGAGGCATTGTGCCCGGCATCCACCTCCGTGTGGAATGCGACGTGTGGATCTCCAGCGATGCTGGAAGCACGTGGCAACCGCTCCGAGCGCCAGCACCACGGCCGAAGCGAACGTCCGCACCTCGTAGCGGGGCTGTTTTCACCAACGAGACACCGGGCGGTTGGGCGGTCGAGAGGAGGATCATCGTTGAGGTTCAGAGGATAGTGAGGGGACGAGCCAAGGAGTAACATAGCTGACGATTCATCCCTGCGAGTAACAGGCCTTTTTGTATCGTTCTCAGGTTTCTCAGGCGCAAGTCGTTCTTAAAGAGGCCTCCGGGCCTGTAGGCTGCGGGATCCAGTTATTGGTCAAGAGCCAACTGGGAAATGATGAGGGGTCCTTCGTGAAGCCTCCTTTGCTCAGCTTCTAACTCCTGGTGCACTGGCAGATGAGGCGCAGTCAAAATCGTTTGGGGTCGTATCAGTTGGCATGATGAATTGAATGGAAGGGACTTATAATGACATAATATATATATATATATATCAGTATAATCTGATATAATCTGATATACACTGTACATCACTGTACAAAACCATACAAAGCCATTCGATTGTACCCAGTTTGACCTTCCAGGTCTAAGACACGCAAGGGATTCTTCGCTGAGGATTGGGAGCCCCGGTGCTGTCCATTGCTCTTTTTCATGCCGCCCCAAGACGGGCAGAGGCAATTGCTGGTCTTGGGCGGCGCACGCCTCGCGGAGGCCTTTGGGAAGCATGAGGCGTTGGTACGGGTTTTGGCCAGTCGTAGGGACCCCTCCCGGCTAGTGAGTGCTAGTCGATTAGATGTTGACTCTTTGTCGATTGTTGACCCTTTGCTTGATGTTACTTGTTTTTATCTTGTTTTTCTTGGATGGTTTCTGTGGGATGCTTTGATTCGTGTTTTGGCATGTTTTGGCTTTAAGAAGCTTATTAGGTAAAGATCCCATGACGAGTTCCTCTGCAAAGAAGGATGATGAGTTCCACTTCAACCCCAGAAGTCGCCCCGAAGTCCTTCGTCGGGTCGCCGAAAGAAGCCATTCCGATAGAGATGGCCGAACCCCAGTGGTGGGATGCCCGCGTAGACACGGGATGCCCAGTGGTGGGGGCATTTAATTTGGGACCAATGCCACAAACGGTCCACCACAAACGAGGGTGTACGTTACCACATCACTGCGCTAATATCAAACTGAACAGTGAATCACAAATAAGCAAAGTCCTAGACAGTCAGTACCTTTCCAACTTCTGCGGTTTCAGCACACATGTTTCTTCACACATAGGGTTCCAACGGTTCCAACTACCTGAGGCCTGAGGTAATACGGTGTGTATTTTAATAGTTAGACGCCCAACCAATGGGTTTTGGTCTATGTTCTTTCTTCCAGCGATACTCTTTTTGGGGAGGGGATGTTTTTTTTTCTTCATTTGAGGGCTTAAAGGCGAAGCAGAGGACCGGCCTAATTGAGCGCTTCACCTTCCCTGCCTTTTCACCATCTCCAGCCGGTCTTCGCCCCGTTGTCGGTTTTCCCCCCGGTCGGAGGCCTCGGCGGGAGACCGCGCCCATGCGATCGGGCCGCGGTGCTTGGATGATGCCTGGAGCCTCCAGGTGGATTTCGACGAAGGCGCCGCGGCACCGGGTTCAGGGTGACTTCGACATGCGGAGAGGGCAGGGAGACCGAAACACCATGAAGAGGTTGAGACATGCAATATATATATATATATATTGTGACTCTCCCTTCCCCAGTAACAGTCAATAAAGGTTTCTTTATTTAGCAGCCCTCCAGAAATTGCACCATGGATTCACGTTTTTTTCATTTGAAGATTTGAGGCCAGCCAGGAATTTCCTGTCAAGGATGACTGTCCCTGAGGCTCACTGCCAAGAATTTTGTGTTTAGGACGACCGTCCCTCAGGCTCACTGCAGACATTTGCCTGTGACCCCCCCCCCCGTGGCACATCACCTCTAGACTGGCCAAACTTCTTGACAAATGTGTCTGTCCTTTAAAGAAAAACACTTGGCATTTTGGTACATCACTTTAAACTCCTGCTGAGATGTTTGGTTTGCTTTGGACCAGCAGGGCATTTGGTCCATGAGTCATGGCCCATTGGCCCATTGATTTCATTGCCCAGCCACAATCCCCAAAAGTACTTGTTCAGGTCACAACTCCAATCACACACTCCATTGCCAAGACATTTCCTTTCTTCAGCCTTGGCCTGTGGCTAGCCATGGTCTATATGGCCATTCTGTGGCCTACTTGGCCAGAATCTTAGGGGTTGGAATCAGGTACCACATGGGTCATGGGCCATGGGCTAATTTTGTTGATGATTCAGCTAGCAAGAAGATTGATGGTGATGGTATTCATTCCACTCACTATTCAAGGCCTAGCAATGAATAGTCTGAATAGTAATCTGGGGCCATCATCAATGAACAGTGGGACATCAAATGCAGATCCAATGCAGCTTGCTGGTACCAGCTGCTACTGTTGCACCAATGTGACATGAAGGCCTTCTCTTAGGTGCAGCAGAGTTGGAATAAAGATGAGTCTCCATCCAATTGGTTTCCTAGGACATCATGTGTGTTTCAAGTGTTTCAATACCTTGCCAAACATTCAATCTCCTAGACCGCCTAGACCCAAAAAACTAGACTTCTTCACGTTGGAGACGCACACCTCCAGCAGCTGCCTGAGTTTGCAGAGAGGAGAAAACATTTGGAGTGTTAAGCATTGGCAGCATTGATTTTGCAGACATTCACCATCCACCCTCTTCACAACTTCTTCACCACTGTGACCCCAACAGCCATGTCATGATTTCCAGCTCATCCCTTGGCCAGGTTCGTGGCATTGGTGGCTGGTGCCAACTCCAACCCATTGGAGAGCGCACATGGAGAAAAGAGAAAGTTCGTTTTGGCAAAATTGGGCGTGCAATAATTTGCGGTCATGATTGTGGTCACTGTTAGTGGGCATGGGCCAGACACAATATATATATATATACTGTATATTATACTCTATTATATATATAAAATATATATGGGGGTTGATGAGATGTGGATCGTTTTCATGGTCTCCCAAAGCAAATTTGACAATTCAATTGCATGTTACTGCAAAGTAAGGACTTTATATAAGGCCACTTAGATAGGGACTCCAGGGACTCCAAAGAGGTCACTCTGAAGGTCCTGGTAGGGGAGTGTGTGTCTACACTCTTCCACTGTTCTTTTTTTGTGAACCCCCCTACTGTATTATGTGTTTTTGGTTTTCGTGTGAACCCGTTTGTCATGGCGTTTTCCCCATGACATGGACTTTGGGAATGAGAGGCTTTGGCTGGCCATATTCCCGACCTACTCTTTCAATCTCTTTCGGACTTCTCAGCCGATCTGAAGATCAACGGATCTCAGTGTGGGGGTCTTGCTTACAAGCCTACCCTGTTAGTGAAGAACCCGTAACCTTTTTTTGGAGATTTGTTTCCCCACCAAAAAATGAACTTCAAGACTCCGAGACCTTCAAAGTGTCCTCCTTGGAGTCCCTTTTTTGAGTGACCTTTTACAGGTTTACTAGTGACCCCATCCTGGGCTCTCGAGGTCACTTTGAAGGTCCTGGTTGGTGGAGAACAGTAAAAACATGTGATGTTCCGGAAAGTCCATAGTGAAGTCAATCATAAGGCCAGGGCCTGGCTGGGCGACCCAACCGATCTTTACTTGCGCGCGCGTCCGGAAAGTCCGCGACGGGATCGACCGAGATGGTGAGTTATGGGGGAGAACTCTCTTGATCCATCTCGATCCAATATATACTGTATATACCAGGACCTTCCAACAGGTGGTTTTTGGACACCACTTAGCCACTAAGAGGCTATTTATAGACACCTCCTTGAAGGTCCTGGCCCTGGTATATATTATAAAATAGAGAAGGTGGGAGTCCAAAACTCGAGGTCAGTTATCGAACAATCATCCAATCTCATTGTCAGATAGATGATCTGGATCAAGGAATGAACAGCATGGAATAATGATGGACCAATGGCATATGAAGCAGACATGTTATTTCTATATGAATCCTTAAGATACCTCTTCCCCCCCATGTTCCTCCCTTGGATCACCCGTCCATGTCCTCCAGGCACTGGAACCTTTGAGCCGCTCCACAGCGACGTCGACCGGGAGGTCGAGGTCTCCAGCGACTCGACGCATTCCGCGGTGAAGTGAAACAAGACCCGTAGTGTCTATAGACCGCAGGGAAGCAGGCCCCGAGGTTCTTGGAGTAGTGTCTATATATGTTTGCCCGAAGTTTTCCACTGAAAAAGGAGCTTGCTCAGCAAGAGACATCGTGGAAGCTGGAGAGGACTTGCCACATTGAGCTCGGATGCGCCCTCGGTTCCAAGGTGACGAGACAGGTTTTGACGGGCACCAAGCGAGCTTCGATGCATCGTCTTTGGCGGTTCCAGTTCTGCAGAGAGGCGGGACACGCGGGATGTGCCGAAAAAAGCCTACTGGGCCTACTTCGACTGGGAAGGCTTGGGGTCCTACAGTCAACCAGGCTGGTCAGGCCGGATCCACTTATGTTCACATGATTTTTCACTTCGACATTGGATTCGTTTCACGTCGTGACAGCGGTTTTCCAAGGCTCTTTCAAAGTGACCGTGTGACCCGGTGACGAGGTACGTTGTAGGATGTGACCTGGGGAACCGAGAAGGGAAAGAGGGACATCCTGACAGTGGACGCCCAGTTTCTTGACTGCCGACGAAGGGATCAATAGGTTATATTCGGTTTATAGTTTCAATCATCATAGACACCCAATAGATTCAACATAATGATACAACAGGTTCAGCAGGTAGTGGCATCTCAGGCAGTTATGAAGTGTGATGTCCATCGACCAGGTTTGGAATGGTCAAAAGATGTTAAGAGATGTTAAGAGTATGAATTTTGGACAATCTGCACACTCAGATCACTCAGATGGAGCACCCTTGGTCGATGTTTGCCTCATATTGATGAGGTTAAGTCTCGCTTCATCCATGACCAAATATCGGCCCAAACATCGGCAGCGTCAAATGGTGACTCGGTAACGGTCCGGTCACCGAGTAGTTCGTGTTCATGTGATACACCTCCTACCCGAACGTTCAAAGTACAAAAGCAAGATGCTACCGGTCTTTTTTTGTTCTAGGAGGTTGCTGGGGAAACCGTTGAGACAGGCAGCATTCTTCATGAAGCGAAGAAGCCCGTACCAATTTTAGAATTAAGGAGGAGCCATGCAGAGATCCATAGAGCGCATCCATGTGTTCCAGTGTTGGCAGACTGAAGCTATCCAACGGTGTCAGTCGTTGGCTTTCGCCGTCACGAAACAAATCTCTCCATGAGCGAGCATGAAGAGCTGGTGGAAACCGTGAAGCAGCAGCAGAGGAGCAGCGAGATTGCGCGCGAAGGTTGGAGACACTACTGCGGTGCATTGGCTGAGGGCGTTCGTGATCCAAAGAAACATAGTTCTGAGTCACCTGTCAGAGATTTGTGGCGATGAGTTTCAAGCGTTTCAAGTGTTCTGACCAGGACTTGAATTTTGTGGCAAGAACAAGTCAACCTTCAATGATTGCACACCGCAAATTGTTATGCAAGGACATAGTTTCGCATTTCAAGATCCCGCACTCACACACCAAGGGCGGTTTTGACACTCTTCGGTGAAATTCACAACAAGATCAACAAGTAAGCCCTTTTGTCTTTTTACATCTTTTTACATTTTTCCCCACCTGCCAGGTGAGGGTTGTTAGATTTTGTCACAGTTGTTCTTCCTCCTTCCTTCCTTCCTTCCTTCCTTCCTTCCTTCCTCCTTGCTTCATTCCTCGCCAATCTTCATCGCCAATCTGCTTCGCCAATCTGCTTCGCCGATCTTGTCTGGCAAGCTCCGGATCGCAGTGTGCACCCCTGAACCTCAAACGCAAGGATCCGATCGCTGTGTGCACCCCTGGACCTCAACCGCAAGGATCCGATCGCAGTGTGCACCCGTGGACCTCAACCGCAAGGATCCGATCGCAGTGTGCACCCCTGGACCTCAACCGCAAGGATCCGATCGCAGTGTGCACAACCGCAAGGATCCCCTCGCAGTGTGCACACGTGGACCTCAACCGCAAGGATCCGATCGCAGTGTGCACCCCTGGACCTCAACCGCAAGGATCCGAGCGCAGTGTGCACCCCTGGACCTCAACCGCAAGGATCCCCTCGCAGTGTGCACACCTGGGCCTCAACCGCAAGGATCCGATCGCAGTGTGCATCCCTGGACCTCAACCGCAAGGATCCGATCGCAGTGTGCACCCCTGGACCTCAACACACAATTACAAACAGAACAACAAACACACAACCAGAAACGCACAACCACAAGCACAACCAGAACCACACAATCACAAACACACAACCACAAACACACAACCACAAACACACAACCACAAACCACAACCACAAACCACAACCACAAACACACAACCACAAGCACACAACCACAATCACGCAACCACAAGCACACAACCACAAACACACAAGTACAAACACAACCACAAACACACAACCACAAACACACAACCACAAACACAACCGCAAACACACAACAACAAACACAACCACGAACACAACAACAAGCACACAACCATAAACACAACCACAAACATAACAACAAACACAACCACAAACACAACCACGAACACACAACCACAAACACAACCACAAGCACACAACCACAAGCACACAACCACAAACACAACCACAAACACACA